ACGATCTTTGAAGGCCAACAGCAGCATCAGCATCCACAGAACGGATATGACGAATTCGATCACAATTACTACACGACATATCGTCGGTCCGCGGTCGGTTTGGCTTTTTAAGGGGGGGGATAATGTCCGTGTATATACCTTCACTTCCACGCCGTCTTGATTTTATCATTTCCTGGTAATTCTTCGCCTATTTATTATTATATACCTCCTTGTTTTTTTCACGTCTAACTATAATTACTCTTCTCTTTCCGTCCCTACTTTATTTATCTTCTGATTCACCCATTGGTCAGTAGATAGACAAGAGAATATTTCATATGGATGTTACAAAGCACAATTCGTAGTCTGAAATATTCTTCGACTGCATCCGAAGAAGCCGCGGAGTTGGAGTCCCTTCTGTCCGAACGGATTTGTGACTACATGTCACCATGATTATTCATGTGCCTCCCTTGGCAACGACAACGCATCGGTTATGAATGTAGCCTGGGGCCCTAAAGTACATGCACAGCATTTCTATTACACTATCAATTACCACATAGTAACTCCGCATGGAGGACACCAAAGGCGCATCGGCCCGAGGATTTTCCTCCTAGCCAGCCAAGGCGGTCAGGTGATTTATGCCGAAATATCTGTTTTTCTGGCGATATCGCCGACTCTCCCATCCTCTCAGCACGACAGCTCCATATCACTTCCTTCTCCTGCAATTGCTCACCCTTTCTTAAAATACCTCCGTCACAATGTTCCAACGTACCATCCTCAGACAGGCCCAGGCCGCCCGCTCTCTCCTTTCCGTCCGTTCGACGTCTTCAGCACCACTGGCGCTCCGCCGCACGTCACAATTCCAGCCGCAAACCCTTCGTCCATTTGCTCCTTTGCCTGGCTTGCGCAACTACTCCACAGAGAACAAGGCCGAGGAAGGCAAGCAGGAGAAGAATGAGAACGCTGAATCGGAGTCCCAGAACCCCGAGGATGCCATTCGTAAGGAGCTTGAAAAGAAGGAGAAGGAGGTTGTTGATTTGAAGGTAAAGCAATCAATATGCTCCTGATGATTTGATTATCTTCCCAGCTACATCCATACATTTACATATGTATATACATACAAAAACTGTTCTTCACAGCTCCGCTAACCCGCCACGCTACAGGACAAGTATGTCCGCTCCGTTGCAGACTTCCTCAACCTCCAGGAACGCACCAAGCGTGATATGGACAATGCGCGCAACTTCGCCATCCAGCGCTTTGCCGTTGATCTTCTCGAGAGCATTGACAACTTCGACCGTGCCCTCCTGGCTGTGCCCGAGGCCAAGCTCAACTCCAATGAGCCTGAACACAAGGACATTAAGGACCTCGTCTCCGGCCTGAAGATGACCCAGAACATTCTGATGAATGCCCTCAAGAAGCACGGTCTGGAGAGGTTTGATCCCAGCGAGCCTGCTGAAGATGGCAACACGCAGAAGTTCGACCCCAACATGCATGAGGCTACCTTCATGGCCAAGGCTGAGGGCAAGGAGAACGGTGATATCATGTATACTCAGAGCAAGGGCTTCAAGCTGAACGGACGTGTCTTGAGAGTAAGCACAGCCCCTTCCCTGTCCTACTAACGTCTATGGGGTTCACGAGACTAACGAGAAACCTTTCCAGGCTGCCAAGGTCGGCGTTGTCAAGAACGACTAAATCAATCACCCATACAAATACTTCATCCTCAATTTCCTCTAAACGCAACCTCACTACCTCTCTTATTCTACCTGTATAATATACCGAATACCTTTCATCATGACGAGGAATTACCAATTGCGGTAACCGTGATACCACGTCTTTTCTCTATGAATGCATGTGTATGATACACCGGCTATTTTGTTTGCATACGACCGGAAGGCTTATGGTCTGCCCTCCTTTCGTGGTTCCTATCTTTTTTTTTTTTTCGTGTTCATGTCAGGCGTTTGAAACTCACCCCTCACCTCTCACTATATGACATTATATCTGTATAATACATGCAATGATTTGGTCTTGTCATTCTACAAAAAAGGTGGTCTGATTGGCAATTTTTTGGATATGAGCTACTTGCACGGCATTGGATTATTGGGTTTCCTTTCCTTTCCTTGCTTTGCTTGTTCGTTGGGCTGGGTCGTTTCGGTAACGGGTCATGATGATCTACATTAATAGATGATTGACTGGATCGGTCATTACTATATTTTCTGTCTATTCTTTTCCTTTGCCTTTGGGTGACCTTGGCGGTAGTGTAGACTTCGATATGAAATATGTGCAAGAGCATTGGGTATCTTCCCGTTTCCTCAACGACAGCGATAACAAGCACAACGGTGTCTTAATTGATATAGTTCAACGCTTTTTGCCCTGGGTCCATATTGCAGATGCCCTTTCATGCCCTCCTACAGAGATAATTCATATATATCGGTGTTTGTATAACTCTGTTCGCATCGATAATACATCTATATCCAATCGGTTCTCACAAAGCTACTAGTAGACATGGTCTTTTGTTTCATTTTTAATTGAGTATCAAGGATTTACTCTAGCCGTTTACAAAAATATATCCAACACACCTACAGCTCGGCATTAAGATCAAGTAAATAATACACTAAGATCAACCTTGAAGTCGAGATGAAATTTTTATTTTCCAAATACTGTACAGATAAAGGTACACTGGGACCAATCATGAAAGAACTGTGGGATATTATACAAGGATCCATGCCCCATGCCACAACATGCCGATTTGAATCTGATTACCTCAACTGAACGCCCAGCAAGCCCACAAGCTTCTCCCGGACCTGATCATGGAGGTCATTAGTCTCTTCGTTGGTCAAGGTGCGCTCCAGACTGCGGTAATTGATCCGGTAGCACATGCTCTTCTTGCCGGTCTTCGGGTGCGTGAATTCATCGATAAGTCGGACGTCTTCGACCAGATCGCCTGCAACACCACGGACGATCTCCATGATATCGTTCTCGTGGACTGGCATGGCGCCGCCGGCAGCGCTACCGCCGCTTACGGCCGCAGAAGGCAGCCAGAAGGCGACATCCTTGTAGCAGGCGGGGTGTTTGGAGAAGGGCTCGAAGCGGGAGATATGGCCGGCCTTGAACTGGGAGAGGAAACGCTCATCGCGGGACCAGAAGAGTCGGATGTCCGGGATGTTGAAGAGGAGCATGGCGATGCGCTCGAGGCCGAGTCCGAAGGCCCATCCGATGCGGTTTGGCACGTCCGAGTTGATCAGCAGCTCTTGCTTGATGACACCACAGCCTAGGATCTCGAGCCAGTCGCCTTGCCAGAAGACTTCGAGTTCCCAGGACGGGCTGGTGAAGGGGAAATAAGCCTCCACCCAGCGGACCTTCAGCGGTTCCTGTTCGGCAGCGTTGTTGCCGTCGGCGGCCGCGGCGGCCTTGCTGGCTTCGGTGAAGATCTTGATCACCATTCGCTCGAGGGAGCGTTTGAGGTGCGCCGCGATGGCTTCGACCTCCTCCGCGCTGTGGTGCTCTGCCTGGAGTGGGTTGCGTTCTGCGTGAATGGTGGGGTTGGGGTCCTCGACGGCGACGTCGTGAGTCGGGATGCGGCTGAGATCGTCCGTGATCCTGGCGGCTGTTTCCTTCGCAGCCTTTAATGGCTCAATGTCGGGCCGTTTCCACAACATGGCGCCCTCCATTTGATGGAAAACGGGGTAATGGCTACGATCGATAGCATCCCGGCGATAGACGTCCGCAACAACAGTGTACCCAACCTCTTCGGGACGCGATTTCTCATTCCGGTTGATCTGTTGGAAGTATGCTTGCTGGTGCGCGCTGGTGTGTGTTCGCAACACGGTCTTGTCATTGACATAGTAGGTATCTGTGCGGCTACGGCCGGGGTGGTCCAGCGGGAACCCGAGGACGTCGAAGTTCTGCGCGGTCGTGACAACGGGACTCTTCTCGTGGTAGTTTCCGTAGGCGGGACCCGGGAACTGACTTTCGATTAGCTTCCGGGTGATGGCGAGGGGGTGGTTCTCGTCGAGGTAGAGTCGTCTTCCGACGTGGGAGAGGATCGTATCGGGGGTGTTGGTCCATTGGTCTGTGGGGTAAGATTTATCTTCAATTGTTAAAGATGGCTTCTTTATGGAACCCAGAGGATCTGGCTTCTGATCCGGATTCGTCGACCCTTGCGTTCTGAGCGCCGTTGTTGAGCTCCAGGTTCTGCGGAGAGGGTCCGAGATGTGCGAGACATGCGAGAACGGAATGCGCACGTTCCTGCTGATTGCCCATCTGCTGCTGGTGGCCCGCAGCGCCCTGCCTGTGGCCAAGAGGCGCATGTCGATATAAAATGCACCCCGAATGGCGCGGTGGAATTAATTACCAGGGTGGAAGCAGGTAAATGGGATGACTTACTCCGATGCGGAATCAATACAAAACATTCCGGGCCGGGGAAATTAGTGGCCGACGGGATTGTGCATAAATCACTATTTTTCCACTACGTGCTGACCGGACGTATCGAAACATTCGATACGCGTCTACTCAAATTTGAGATGGTTACGCATCTTGGGATGGGCCGGAAAAGGAGAGCTGGCTTAATTGAAAAGTAATGACAAGCCCATACACCACGAAATGCCTTCCAATCATCCACCAACCCGAGAAACAGAATATAAACAAGGATTAGATCAATGAACACCCAAGCAATCGTCCTTAGTTAAGGCTCCGAGAAGAAGTCACAGAAAGCACAGAAATGGTCAACCAACGCGTCTATCGCTTTTGCCTCGCTTTCGCCGGTCAATGCAGAGAAGGAAATGAGAGAAGCGATGACCTAGTACCGCAGTTGTAGACGCCAGCCACCAAATAGTCGAGACACAGAAGCAGATCAGACCAGAGCAGACCGAGCATGAGTAGTAAACCGTGACGCCAATCCCAAATGAGCGTAGAGACGGGCTAACGCCATGAAGTACAATGTAAAATATGTGAGAGAAGGAAAGCCAGGCTAATGCGGATAGCGATGGAGGGAACGCTGCGACGAATACAAGATCTCAGCCGCCTTCTCAAATCCCTTCGATGGTATCGTCATCTGATCCGTCGGCAAGCATAGAGTGGGTCGGTAGCTTCCGTCCTGATCCATATACCATCTCCATTAACTTGGCTTTCTGCTTCTCCCGGACAGACCGAAGGTAATCATAGCTGCCCTCTAAGCCACGAATCTGGCCTTCTATTACAGCCTCGACCGGCCCTAGCATCCGACCATTACTCCGACCACCACTTGAATCAATAGCACCAGCAAAGCTCACGGAATCGTTGCGTCGGACGAGTGGACTGACGAGCTTTCGTCGCAGAGTTTCCAGGTTGACCTTAAGAGTAAGGAGCCGGCCGCGGTGATCCATGAGGAGATGCTTGTTGGCGACCGTCCGGCTACGGACATTAGCGAGCAGCCGCTTGTTCTTCTCATACTTCCGCACAACGGCTGCGTCAGGCCCAAGAACACGGGTCCAAAGAGAGCTGAGCATTTCACCTTCAGCACGCTCTTGGGCATCTGACTCACGCACAACCGTGCGTTGAATATTGAGAAACTGGCGATCGATAGATTCAAATAGCGCGAAAAGCGCAGTTGAGTGTGTCAACTCGCTGTTAATGGACTCTTCAAGTACCGACAGGAACTCTGTGAAGGTCCGTGTGAGGGTGGAGCGCGTACGCTGGGCCGATGTCTGACCGAACAACGCGGTTACAACGTGGCCAAAGGTGGTCGGAGTGTTTAGCTCGCCACCAACACCATCCCCATCCGAGACGGTGATGCGCTCTAGCGTGCCGAGTCGCGCCAGAAGATCGTGCATATTGTCAAGCATGATCGACGGTAGCGTACTGGGTGGTTGGGACGACAATGTCTCCAGCTCCCGTTTGGCCCAATCCATGACAAGTAAGATTGAGTCCACGTCCGAGTCCACATTGGCGAAAAAGCGCGTCAACTCTAAAGACAGCGACTTCAGGGACTCGGACAACTCATCCAGCTGGCGCACTATGATCGGCGCACTGGTCATATTGGTACCGCGAACAGACTCACTCAGATCCCAGACAGCAACACCGGTCTCCTGCAACGTCCCTATCTGTTGTACGCCATTCTCTGAATAGTATATCAGAGGCTCAAAAGACCGCGCAAAGCCCGACAATTTCACCAGGTCAGGAATTGCTTGCGGTACACTGGGTAAAAACAAAGCGCGCATGAAGACTATGGATAGTAGGGCTACCAGAATGGAAATGGTGGTGTTGGATTTGGAGCTAGTGATCTTATCGAATTTGGATCGCAAGTAACTAAAGAGTGCGACAAAGGGTTCGCGCTGCTGAACCTCTGCGCGCACAGCGAACCGGATATCTTGAGAAAGGCCCACTCGTTAGTATCCCGCGCCAGCATGCTGGACAGGGTTCAAACCGAGATAAAGCCTACAATTGCTTAGATTATTATCCGAGCCAAACTCCAGTCCTTCCGGGGCGGGACTGGTCTCCGGCACCCGGCGTGGGCTAGGTGACCGAACCTTATGCGGTGAGTCTGCGTCCATCGGCAGTGGAACATTGGCAGCGATCGTAAGGTCCCCTGTATCAGTAGAACTGCTCCTTTTACCAGTCATGGGGTCCTCCAGAGCGTCTTCGTATTGCGGACTGGGTTCTCGCGATTGCGATGGACTTAACCCCACAGTGGGCTTTAGTCCCAAACGGTCCTGATCGACCTTGCGCAGATAGGGCTGATGCCGGTACCACCCACTGCCTTGGACGTAGTCATACCTCCGAAACCCTGGGGGTGACCAGCGCTCCCCGTTAGGCGTCATGTCATCTTCTTCCACGTCGGATTCCTCTGACCGAAATCCTGAATGTTGTGACGGTAGACCAAACACCGGAGAACGGTGGGCATTATTTGAATTCTCAAAGTCTTCGAGCGACGCATCCAATGAGGGATGCTCGTCAAAGACGTTATCCAGCTCATCCAACATGGTGGACGGCGTTGCGCACAACCTATACGAAGTTATCAAAGCCACTTCAATCGTTGCGACGCTGAAGCGACGACTTGAGTGGACGAAAACAATTCCTAGATTGTCGCGGTGAGGTGATAGCTTGTGGAGGGGTTAGTCGCAAGCGCACTAAGACGAGGCGGGATCGGTCTTATGCGCTGTCGCGATAAGTGGCGGGGAGAAGGTAAACAGGTGGTAGGTAGGAAAAGACAAGTAACGAAGAGTAGTCTGCAGGTCAGAACGAAGGTACAGGAATGGGCAGACGCAAGACATGGGAATGCGAAAGGGAGTTAGATGCCAGCGGACGAGGCCTTGATGCCTGAGGACGGAGCGGCCGACTAACTGGGTTGCGACAAGTCACGCTCGCTTTCCCGGGGTAGGTAGTAGATACGGAGTACTTGCAGCAGTTACAGAGGCGCTTGCATTAGAAACGTTTGTGGCACAGTGATCAGCAGTCCGCTGTAAATGCCGTTAGTTTGACAACTTGGAAGCCAACCAACAACAGGATATCATCAAGTGTTCTGCGGGTAGTCATTCATGTTCTGAGAGGAATGCGGTTCGTGTTCCTTTCTATTTCGTGTCCAGGTACCGAAGGAGAATGAACCAGCGATACCCCCCCCTCGCATCGCTCTTTGGGGTTTGAGTTGTTTTATCGGGAGAGCAAGAGAGGGGCGCAGGTGGTGGCTGGGCCAATGGCGGTGGACAGTCCAAGGGGTCATGTGCCAACCTGTTCCAGACCCGTACTGTTCCGTACAGGTCCATCGTAGTTACTGTCCTGTCCTTGGGGACAGGTACCCTCTGGTAGGTTTGCTCTAGACTAGTGGTAAGATACCATCGTGGTTAGTCACTAAAACACTGGTTGCGAGTGTTCCCTTGAGAAATCCAGTCCAATCTGCCGGTCCAATAACATCCACGGCCGGTAGGGATCGACCGCCAGTTTGCCAGAACTCTCCCACTGCTGATCCAGGACGATAGGACAGGACTCGTCCAAGTGGACCATGATAGCTCCTAGAGACAAATCCTCTTCACACCGTAAGAACCTTGAGGGGCTTCTCGTTCGAGTCGGGTCAAGGCAACGGCCGGTAAGTGAGCGTCGAGCATCTCGGGAATAAAGGCCCAACCCATAGCGCCCGAATCGGGATTTCCATAGATCCACGTGATGAACCAATGACGCACGTGGTGGAATCACGGGAACTGAACGGGCGTCTGCGGTTAGTCCAAACAAGAGCGTGAGAAGAGTGTGGAAGACTGTCGTCATGAGAGGAGATATCTTTATTCATTACAGCCTTACGGCCTGAAACTTAACCATGATACATAGAACTGGAAAACATGACCACCGAGACGGAAATGGGGAAAGGTTATGGGCTGACATAGACAAGCTCGTGAAGGAAACGTGTTTCTATGAAACCCGCAAATCCTGCGCACAAAGGAAAAATCACGTCTATTGCGAGTAAACAAGGTATTGAGTAATATTACATGCCCTGTCCGTCAAACTGCCGAGGATCTGGGAACGTATCAGATCCGATGCGACAAGTCGCTTGAACCGGGTCGAAGAAAGAATTTTGTTCACGTTAAAAAGAGAGTTTAAGCACAGCTCTCCTTGAGGTAACTGATGGAGCATAGCCAGTTAGCACAGAAGTTATTGTAATAGCTAAGCATAACGGGTAAACATACGTGATGAGGTCGTTCCTCTCCTTGCCCTTCTTGAGACCACCGAAGGCCATCTTGGTACCGGGAATGAACTTCTTGGGGTTCTCGAGGTACTTGAACTATAGGGAATTAGTTGACCCTTGATTTACAGAGGCAGGAAGAACAATGCATACCAGAGTGTTCTCATCCCAAGTGACACCGGCCTGCTTGTTGGCATCGGTGTAGGCGTAGCCCTCAACGGAACCGGTCTGACGGCCAAAGAGACCGTGGAGCTTGGGGCCGACCTTGTTGGCACCATCAGCCTCGACAGTGTGGCACTGAGCGCAGCGAGTCTATAGATACTATTAGTCACTGCGCAGCAAGTCTTCTATGGATCGATGTCAACTTACCTGGAAGAGCTTGGCACCCTTGGCAGAGTCACCTGGAGGAATAAGGATGTTAGCCGTCTGCTTTGCTTTCTCTGCGGCCTCAAGTTCGGCCTCGCGCATATCGATGGTAGTAAGAAGACAAAAAGTGTCAAAGCTGGTCATGTTGCTCAAAATGATTGTGTATTGTCGGCGCATCCAACTATTGGTTCTTCAATGGAATAGGATGCGGAAGAGAAATGTCGCAGACTGTTCATTGTCTAGAGAACATAGAACACAGAGCTGTTGGGAAAATTGTGTTCCTCGAACAGCAGTGGCCATCATTCACTGAATTCCAGGAACCAATTCGTGTTTGTTTGGACACCAGCAGTGAATGACAGGATGGGACGCGCTTGACGAACAACGGGGAAGCAGCCAGCCAGGGAGTGAGGTAGCTTACCAGGAGCGAAACCAGCGTCCTTGGCCATTGTGAATATGTGTAGTAAAGTCTAAAGAGACTGGAAAGATGTTAAAATGATAGTATACAAAAAGAGGGTATCCCAAAAGCTAATTGAGGAGAATCAATTGAAGGGAGAAAAAACAGGCAGGAAGAAAAACTTGCGATCGCAGCAATTTGTACAAAGCGCCGTCTTCGCCCCCGAGGCCTCCCGTGATTCGAGCCTCGGCCAATCAGCGACGGGATGATTCAGCACTCAACGGGCTCTCTCGGGACAAGGGAAACAACCGGTGTCTTTTTTCAGCACCTATTTTTATTTCCTTGGTTCTGCATTTTTATGGGGGAGACGACGTCTCATACCGCTACAAAGGTATACTTACATTGTCCGGGAACAAAACCCTGTCTTATACCGTACTCAACGCCCTATTACATCCTTTCGTTTACGGCACTATTGCGATGAGCGTCAGTCAAAGTCATTTCGCAAATGCCGGTTTTACATAGGTATGATCTCATATCTCGACGGTGTTTGACCCAACAAAAAGATTACGGGGAGAACTGGGCCGAAGTGGAAATGGATGGACCCGGTCTTTGGAAATGCCTGTCTTGCTATTTGTCCCCCAACGGGCAGAATTCTCGTGACTGGTCTGTGTGTCCAGCCGCCGCCTTTGGCCCGAATTGAGGCCTGAGCCTGAGGCAGTTATATCCGCTCTTTACCTAAGATAAATCCTAACTAGACCGGAGGATTCAATGAATACAACTTGTCCAGACGGGGAGCCCATGATACCCTCTTCCCTAGCTGGGGCGAATCAATGTCTATCCCAACCCTGTGATCAGATCCCCAGGACATATATCCAAGCCCAGTAGCCCAATTGCTACCACGAAAAAACCAATCGACTTCTACTTCATCTGCACTGATCTATCTGTCACCTTCAGCTATGCTGCTTGCACGATGTGGTCTAGAAACATTTTGAGTGTATATATAGTTCCACATCTCTTCCTGTTTTCGCCTTTTCTCCCCTAGTCGTACTAGCCTTCAAAGCCGAAGAGCCCTCGTGTCAATCTCTCTGGTCTCAGTCCTACATAGAAGATGTACTTCCTCCCCTCCCTTGACAGCTGCAATACAGCATTGGATTTCGTAAAACCAAGAGAACATCCTCCTTGGAATCCTATACATACACTATTTTTTCGGCATGTATAGAATCTTTAGCCAACAACACTAAGGAAATGCAGTCCACCTGAGTGCAACATGGTACGAAAGGAATGCTCGTTTGAATCTAGTATTTCCCGTTGGGCTCATAGTGGCATACCAGGTAGATGCTTGAAACATAGTTACCACATAGTATGACAAATAACTGTCCTCTCTCTCTTCAATAGAACCAAGTTAGATGTTCTAGAACTCTGGGTCTGAATTGCCAATCAACTTCAAATGATACAAAGACTACTACTGAAACAGCTCCAAGCTGTAATTACAGTTCAGTCTGACATGTTCCGAACTACTGATCGTCACGCATGACATTGAGAGCCCTAGCCGAGGAACTTGACAGGGTGCATCTCCGGGACATATATTGAGACATTTGGAAAGAAAGACATACATTAACGTACTCCATCACTAAGAGTGAATGAAGTATCTAAAATCTTGGGGGAGGTCCGCCTATCTTGGAAAATCTCTAGAGTAGGGTCAGATTCTCTTGCTCCTTATCATGAGCGGAATGTGGTCAACTCCGGGCAATCCTTATGTATACATCCGTGGATCTGTCAGAACATGGCATCAACTTGGTCTGTGATAATAGACCATTTGAGGTGCTATCCTTTGCAATGAGTAACATAATTAAGTGGTTCGCGAGTGGACAATGAGTAAGTATACAGAATAAAGGCATGGCTTGCTTGGAGATTTGCGGTCGACCGCATAGGCATCACAGTGCCCCTGCTTTTCATAGCTTCTTAACTATAGAAACAGGCTATATTCCAGTCAGGTTTCTAGAAGAACAATATCAAAGAAAGGAATTAAAACCCAAGGTTCAACTTCCATCAATCCACCCCAATGTCCATACATATTCTTTAATCACGTGATCAAACACCAGCATCAACCAGCGGGAAAAAAGTTCCAACTCCGCAGAGCCATCACTCCACCCCCAACAACACGCACAGCAATGGCCCCGGTCACAATCCCACAATTCCTCCTACCGCGGGGAATTCCGTCGACGCGGGCCTTCCAGTCCCTCTCGCGCGCAAACGCAACCCACCACCGCATCAGGACCACCACCCGCCGGTGCGCATCAGACAACAGCAAGCCGCGAGTCCTAGAACAGCCCGACAAGTTCCGGCCGCCATCGCACCCCGCACGCAGGGTTGTGCAGACGCGCAATGGAAGAGTCCTTGGCCGCGAGCCGATCAACTACGGCCCCAAGCTCACGGAGAAAGAGCGGGAGGAGCAGAAGCGCAAGCAGTATCCGAATATGTTCCCACCGGAGGGCACAGTTATGTATAAGTTTTTGACAAATCGGTGGATCCATATCTGGATTGCTATGGTGCGTTTTCCTTTTGTGGATTATGCAGCTTTACGGGTTTAATACTTGCGTCGATGCTGATCGGTTGTTTAGAGCGTACTCACGACTTTGGCTACGTTTACCTTCACTACGAACTTTAAGCGGTCGTCGCCATTTGCTCATTTGCTTCCGTCTTGGTCGGATCTGCTTTGGCACCCTATTGATACCGTTTCTCAGGCGTTGGCTGTTTTCCGCATGCATGTGCAGCATACCTCCGTGCAGACGAGGGAGAAGCGGCACCAGCGGATTGAGGATGCGGAGAAGAGACGACAGTACCGTATTGCTCATGGGTTGGAGGAACCGACTGAGGAGCAGGGCAAGACGGAGACCGAGGTGGTTGATGATCAGTCTCCGATAGCTGCCGATGCGGAGGCGAAGCAAGGGGATGGAGAATATGTTGATTGGGAGGGAAAGAAGAGGCCTGTCAAGAAATGGTTGGGCATCTGGTAGGGTGGCTCTTACTGTGCTGATATTGGGGTCTGGATGGGTGGCTGGATGATTGATCGACTAGAGTGTATAACAATGCTGGAGAGCGTACTATGTAGATTAGCTTTGCATATCTTTGGATTTTGTCTTAGCATTGTATTATTCATTATGTACATGTCTCTTGTCTTTTGATGTGATGGTTCATCTTTCCCGCCAGGCTGCCGATTCGGCACTGTAAAAAATTGCCTTGGGTCCTGCAGCCAGGGTATCCTCGCAAAGCGCACAGAAGACCTCCTACATTGTAGCGAATCAGGAGCGATGCGCATACTTCTGCTGAGTATTCCTATCTCCGCCGACAAAGAGTATGTGGTAGGAGACGTATAGAGAGCGCACCTAGGGCACGATGTCATCCGTATTCGGGACAATCAAGTGTCGCATCAATTCATTCACCCAACTTGAACGCCCTCTAGACCCTCGAGAACCTCCTCACCAACACCACCTTTCTCGAGCACGAGCTTAACCATGCGAGCAACCGTGCTTCTCTTCACACCTCCACGACGGGGCTTCCAAACTCCCGGAACCTCTTCCTCGCCTGTGGATGGGTTCAGAATGGCCGCTTCTTCGGCAGCAGCTGTAGAACCTAACGTAGTCACATTTTCCGAGTTAGGCACACCAGGTTGCGTTAACCTGGAAGGAGGGTCGATCGTGCGGATGGAAACAAGCTTCAGGCTATCGGAATCGCTATCCCGAGTGATAGAGATGGCCAGAACCGTATCAGCAACAGCAATCTCCTCTCTATCTGGGTCGAAGATAATGTTTTCGCCCACAGAGACGACGAGCAACGTTACTGGGGGGCGAACTTGTTGGGCAGAAGTAGGGGATACCGTCGAGGTAGAGCGTGGATACAGGTATTCTGCAGCATCCCAATCATCGTCGAAAAAGGGATCCTCCTCGCCTTGGGACTTCAACTTCGGAAGCTTTGTCGACAGAAGCGCCAGATGGGTCGTTAAGGAGAGTAGTGGAAGCGGATATGATTGAGGTTGGGAGAGAAGAAGAACCTAAATCAACAGCATTAGAGTCGACCGCCTAGTGAAATTGAACAAGCGCCTTACATCAATATACAAACGCCAATGCCACCGCTTGTTGATCACCAGCCTTCCCTTGAGTCCACCAGCCATCTCGCCGACATCCCCAGAGCCCTCACTTGATACAGACTCAACCAGAGGCTCTCGCATCATCTCGGACAAGAAAACTGGCAAAGCATCGTCATCCCGGAACCCTGGGATCTCGATCGACATCTGCACCCATGACCCATGTCCTGAACTTGATCCTTGATTTACCTCGCTGTCGTTATTCCCTGCGTATTCTTCCTGGGTCTGTTGTGGCAATTTGAGCGCATCTGCCGAGACCGATGTCTTTTCTACCTCCGCCTTTACTCCAACGATTGCTTGGGTGCCGTCCGCAAAACCAACACGCGCGCTACCGTTAGTTCCGGGAAGGATATCAGTCTCTGCTGTTAAGGGCCGAAATTGTGTCGCCGAGCGTCCATCTGGTCGAATTGGGTTACCTGGAAGAGCAAGAGATGTGTAGAGATAAGAAAGCTCTGCAGGCGAGATATGTGGGGTTTGGGAGGCGGACGAGGCCTGCCTTTGGGCCGCCATTGGGGCAGACAACGAAGAAAGAAAGAAAGAAAAGGAAAAGGAAAAGGCAATAGAAAAGATTGAGGTTGAGTTTGAGAGAAAGACTCTGAATTATGTGGATATTGTCACACAACCTGATAGCTCCGCGGCGATCAGTTCAGCTGCGAATGAGTGGAGTAATTTTCAGTCCCAAGATAACCAGTCAGGCCAATGTATGGCGACCTCTCTGAGAAGATAGCAATACGTGCTTAATATGCGATCTATTCACAGGAGCAGAATAACCATAGCAAATATTAAGATAATGTGCTAGACAGGGACAAGTTGAACTGGCATACAAAAGTAGCACTTGCTATGGAAATTCTGTGAAAGGCGGACAATCGTTATTCCCGACCCGCTCAACGTTCCCATCAAACGCTTATCAGCTGGTACAACTGTCGATCCTAAGCAAAGAAGGTAAAAATAATATGATGTCAAGTACTCGATAAAGAGCACTTTTATGGCCTGTGTGATTAGGTATATATATATATATATAAACATACGGCTGGACAGCCGAATCTAAGTACTATATTACAAGGTGTGTAGAGCCCAAGACTAGCCACCAGTAGTCCTTCCCAGCAACAAGAAAATTGTACATGAGGTGAATCAAAAGTTTTTGCAAAGGTCACATCACTTCCCTAGGTGAGATGCAATGAGCGGCAGGTGAGGAGAATAAGGGATGAAAGAGAAAAAGGAGAGGCTAGTGAAAGATGTTTAGGAAGTGTATCAGCGGTAGGTAGTGATGACAGGAAGTGACAAATGAAAACAAAAAGCTGTTGGTAGTGGACAAGACATGTTGGGTAAACAATGCATATATGTATATATAAAGAACGATAGCAGACCTCGCGACTCGCGCATTTGGTATCAAAACAATGTGCAAACAAGAACACCGCAAACGAAAGACAAGATATGAAAACCGCATGCCGAAACCAGGTTGCGAGGCCAACTATATCTATAAAGGCCTTTGGGGTATGAAGACAACAATGAAGACAAATGAAAAGGAACCCGGGCTAATCCTTGCCCCATGCAAAATAGGGAGAGAAGATGTTGTCACAAGAAACAAAAATGAGCCAAAAAAAAAAGAAAAGAAAAGAAAAACACCAATCACCGGAAAGACGAAAGAACACAAGACACCAGATCCTGTACGCCATGCTCGGTTAGATCGCCAATTACCGCGCGTCCCCCCTGTTTTTCTCTCTTTGATAAATCCAAACAAGACTGGGAATCAAATATCAAAACACGACATCCACATGTGGCACAACGCTCACAGGGCGAACTACCTATAGGTCGACCCTGTCATGAAGTTTGTAGGGCCTGAATGGTTCCAGTCCCCATCTTCGTAAGGCGGGGTAGGCCATTGGCGCGTACTTGTGGCAGGGTCTGTCTTGCCATCGGCAAGACCCAATCGCTTAATTGGAGTAGCATCAGAGTGGCCAAAGGAAACACCGTCGCATTTTGCTGATGGAGAGGGGGTAGGATAGGGGCTAGGCAATGCGCGTGAGTTGTCGTTTCCCATGGCCTGGTGACTATAATTCGATGATCTATCGGACGATGCCTCAGTCTGTGCTAGTCGTCTCGCAGCTTTGCTCGCCGAATGTAAGGCTTCATCGAGGAGCTCATCCTCCTCTTCCGGCGTTTCGTAGCGGTGAACAGGGTGGCTGGAGAGCTGCAGCGCACGCCGAGTTCGGCTGGAGATTGGCGCACCAGTACCACTGGTTGAAACGGGGCTATCTCCCATTGAGCGCATAGATCCTTGAGGCATGGATTGTCTCTTCACGCCCTCCATGGGTGAGGTAATATGGACAGGGACATTTCCAAGTGCAGTCGAATCGAGTGAGCATTTCACGCCCTGAAGGGCTTTGTCCAATTCCGACAAATCAGAGCCTTGCTTGGCGTCGTTAGCACTGGCAGTGTCCAAGGCTAAAGATGAACGATTCGACCAAGGCATACAACCAGCATTAGCCTCAACATCATCGCTTCCCACGTTTCCCTGGTTACGGCCAGATAGCCTACGAGCACGTTTGCGAAGGTGAGAGAAAAAACTCTCCTTCTGGTTGGCACCAACCAGAGGGTTTCCACCATTCAAAGCCCTCTCCGCTTCTTGCCTGTGGACATCAGCGTAGTGATTGCCATGGGAGTTGAGCGAAAGCTGTCTGCCAATCTTCTTGCTCGCCTTTCCGTTGTCACCGGCAAGACATGAATTTGCTTGTGCTGTGACTGCGTTGGAAAGCGGGGATACCGGTCGGATTGAGGGCAAGATAGGCATCGGGGCTCCATTTGCCCAAGTGGCACGCTTACTGGGCGCAGGCTTAGTCTTGGTCGTCTCAGGGGCCGTGCTGTATGAGACAACAGGCTGTTTTGACTGCTCGTTATCGCTATCAGACCTTCCGATCAATGATCTTCTGAACCACGACGACTTAGATGTGAGAGAGGGCGAGTCACTGTTTTCCCGGGTAGGAGACTTGAAGCTCTTGTCCGAAGTTTTCCGACCCAACAGTCGGGCAGTTGAGGACCTCGGTCGCAATGGGTCAACAGCATCTGCAAAGTACTCATGATTCAAGGCTTGTGTCGAAGTTGGCCTATTCTTGGGATCCCACATCAGACACCAAGTGACAAAGTGGCTAAGAGACGTTGGCCATTGGGGTGCTTGGAGGATGCTTTCCATTGAATGCGGGGCCATCTGCGAAGAGTGTCAATTTCTAGCTCTGTCGTTATATGCCGTGGGGGACATACCTTGGGGAAAGTGAATCCCAGTTTTTGAGCAAGACGGGAGCCATCTCTCCATTCACCACCACCGAGCTTGGAGCCCGACTTACTGTACCAGTTCCCTGGGCTACCCATAATTTCGCAAACTCGCCAAACCTGATCAACTTCATTACCACCGGGAAACAATGGCTTCAACGTAGCGATTTCAACGGCCATGGCTCCGACAGCCCACATGTCCACAGGCGCGGAGTATTCACCTGCACGCAAAAGGACCTCAGGAGCTCGGTACCATCTTGTGGAGACATATGTAGTGTACGGGAGCTTGGAATGGGTCTCCCTTGCGAGGCCAAAGTCGGCGATTTTCACGGTATATGTTGGAGGGGTTGAGGGGGGAGTTACTAGGTTAGAGTAACGGCTGAAAGCAGAGTCGCTCGGAGCGGATGTGGAGACAAGGATGTTTTCCGGTTTGATGTCACGATGGAAAAAGTGGTGGGCATGGATGTGATCAAGGCCCGACAAAATTTGGTATAGGATGCTCTTCACATGCTTCCCATCGAACGGCTTGTGGTCTCGAGATTTCATCAGTTGGTAAAGGTTACCATCCATGTATTCCATACAGATATGCAGCTTGCGGGAAAGAGGGTCGAGAAAAATGTCGAGAGCTGGAACGAGGTGTGGATGAGCGGGCAGGGTCCGTAGGAAAATGACTTCCCGTAATTCTAGACACGGAGCTAATGAATCAAAGGTCTTCTTCATAGTCTTAATGGCAACCTGATGATGAGGTCAGCACAACAACGCTTCCCCACGATGCCGGAACGGGTCTTACCATGGTTCCTCTCCGCGCGATGTTGGAACCAGCCGTCCGTACACGAGCCACGGCAACACTGCCAAAGCTACCATCCCCGACTTCCTTCATCACTTCAAACCGGTCTTCAAGGGTAGCCATTGACGTCGGTGCGGCGTTCCGCAACGACGAGTGATCGTAAGAGACGGTCATTGTGTCTCTCCTTATCCTTCTCTGCCAGCAGATGTATCAAGAGAGTTCGGATGACTGTCGGGCTTCTATCAGCCGGTCTTGTTCTGTCGCAGGGGTAGATGTCTCTGCGGGGGATCTCACCCTATATAAGTGGTATTGGCGGTAAAGGATATCTCTTCCAATGATATTCGGAAGGGAGTCAGTCAAAGCAGGTGATCATCATTCGAAGTTCAAGCGTTATTGAGTCCACAGTAAGTGAAACGAATATGGTTCTCTTCCATCGATATACCGGTTAGGGCCAGAGGGTAAGTGGGATATTGATTAGATGTAAGAAGATGAGGAACAGGAATGAGTGGGAGAAGAGGGGGAAGGGGTGGTCATGTAGTTCCCAGGAAAGTGGAGGAGAGGCAGATCTGGAAGCAAGATGGAAGACCCAGAGGATTGGACGTGATCACTGTAGTGATAGGAGCGGACCCGTTTTGGTGGGAACTGCTAAACGAAAGGATGATCGGAGGCCGAGTTGAAGGAGCCCCTGACGCGGTGACAGCTTTACCAGCACTTTACCAGCTCTAAGACGAGACTTGGGGCCGGGCCGTGGAGACTTGTGAAGAAGCGGTCGACGACGGAGCGAGTCTTGAGGGGGTAATAGTTTGATGGTGCAGATCACAGGGAAATAGTAATGATAGGACGGTAATAATAAATATTGAAAAGAGAAAAAATAAAAGAGGGAATAAAAATAAAAATAATAGATCAAAACAGAGGAAAAATACAGATAGATTATTGAGGGGTCAATACAGTTGGAAAAGAGGGACGGGGGCTGACATGGATCAAAAAGGTAAATTCAAATAATTATCATTCGAATTGACAACAGGTAAGACACGCAGCCATGTAAGTCACTAAGAAAGAAGGAGGTTGGATGGTTGGGTGTGTAAGAAAAGGGAAAAAAACAAATAAGAACTGTAAAAAATGTAAAAAGGAAGGCAGCAATTGAGGAGTGAGTATGAATGAGTGAACGGACGCGAGTGGTCACTGAGAGACAAAAAGAAAGACAGAAGTGAGCGATAGTAGCATTGAGGACGCGAAATTCAGACAATAATAACCACCATCAGAGAACAAAAAACATGATTACTCTGCCTTCTCCATACTCGCAGACTAGTTTTACCCGCTAACACAATTTGGTCACCATACCCTCTAACAAGACTCCGTAATTATCCTTGCGAACTAATAATAATGCCTGTTGTCGGATGGGAAGGCCTCCACACTAAAAAAAAGCGAAGACGAGTCAGGAATGGACCGGAGATCCACCCCGCTTAGGAAAAATAAATCGTCCATTATATTTCATGGAAATTGCAGAAACGATGAGCGATAAAAATAAAAAAAACAAAAAGGAAAAAAGAAAAAGGAGGTCATCGGGAACAATGGCCTCGACTCAAGACGGGTAGCCGTTACGGCAAATTGCCGATAATGTAGTAAACATGGATTTAACACATTATTCTACATGGGTTAACAACTTCCTGAGAGGTAAATGCTGTCAACACAATAAAGATCAGAGAAAAGCGTCATACTAAGATAATAATTATCGGTCAATGGGCATCATCTGACAATCTTGGTACGCAAGGTACGCTTCGATCTTTTTTTTTCTCTGTCTTATTTTTATTTTCTTTTTTGGTTCCTTTCTTTCGTTTCTTTTCTGGCCTAATCCATAAAAGGTTGAAACAGTGTCGTAATGGTGTTACGCCTAAAATTTCGGGTTCAGTGGTCAGTGGAGCGGAAATTAGTATTTTCTAGCGCTATGATTGTCGCAAAAGATTAATAGAGTTACCAATAAATGCGCTCCATTTGTACAGTCATACGCTAAAATACCCAAAGCAATAAATAGTAAGTAGCCGGGCAGTTCGTAGAACGCTCCCCATTTATGGGGGAGGCGTTTACATAACGCGCTGGTACACCGTGATGCGGCTGATAATTCCATCCCATCTAGTTATCTCTCTATCTCTTTTGCTTTATCTTTGCAACGGATATCTGATCAAGCATATTACTATGCTCAATAAAAGTAACTACTAGTATTACCTAGGATATCGGAAATGATTTCAAGCCACCCGACGGTTCAAGGGTTAGCATGGGAGAGTTTTGGAGCCACAATATCCGGCACCAATCCCTTGTGTTGACTGCTGACACCGGGGTTTGGATAAAGCAGCCAAAGAGCTTCAAAAACAAATGGGTCAAAGACTCATTCAGTGGTCACCATCGCACGCCGCTTTGAAGACTTAGGAGGTCCAGCCTTAATAGCGACCCACATAGTCCCCGCCTCTAGCGATCGTTAGACGGGCCCTAGCAAGGATGGCCAGGGGTTGGGCCGCGTTTTCTCATATGACTCTGTACACTGTGTGTACGGAAACTTACGGGGGTCAAGGTGCTGTCTGTATTCCGATCCCACACAGGGTCCGGACTCCTCGAGCTCACAAATCAACCCCTCGAGTAATGTGATGTATACGCTCTGTGCCATACCAGTCCAATCCGGTCCAATCCGTACTTTTGATGGGTTAGCGATGATTCCCATTGGTATGTTGATGACCTCAGGGGGCTTTTCTTTGCATCAGAATGCTTCTTTTTTTTCTCTTAAACTTTAACTCCCTTCCTTGCTACATATGCATACATCAAGACAAGAAAAAGCCAAGGTATGTTTGGGCGATGATGACCGTCACTGCATTGTTTGTGTAACCTTAGGCAGCATGGACAATGGTACACCGTTCATGCAAGTTGTTATCTGCATTGGTGGATAGTTCATCAGCTCCATCTCTCAAGGTAATCCCACCAACAGTGGCTAACCATGTAGCGTGTGGCTGACCGCCAACAGCGAAAGTCAATGTCACTGAGGGGAATGTGGTACGACCTCCCCTCTCTAACCTCTCGATTTATGATAGGAAAAAATGAGACTGGGACTTGAAAGGATGGGGGCGTTAGTAGCTTCCACGCCCCTCGAAAAAATTCTATCAAATCAATATTTATAACGATGTATTCCATGCTCTACCGACAATTATCCATCATCAACTCGCTAAGAGCATTCGACGACTAATCGGTAAGGACTATGGAGTACGCGCTTGATAATCTAAACTGATTAGCCAGATCTGTAAGTCATCCGAGTGGTGGAAACCGGGTGGATATCACAACTGTCAAACCATAGTCGCGTGGGTGATACCCCTTCCCAAACGAGAAGAAAGTACTCCATAATCAAAGTAAATAAATGAAATAAAAATAAAGAAACACCTATAAAACTAGAAATCCATCCATTGTTTCGAAGGATACCTCAGGGGTTTCAACCAGTGCTCCGGGAAGCCCGCTTTGTTTGGAGCTGTGTGACGTGTAGATTAATGTTGCCAGATATGAAAAATACTTGGAAGGCGACTGATGACCAAAAGGACATACTGCCTGCCAGAGACAAGGCGAATCTTTGGGGAGCTGGGTGGAGGCGATTCACTGAGTTTGAGTTCTCAGCTCACCGCTAATGTATTGGATCTCGATGCAATACTATGCGTACAGGACTGCTTGTTTCGTGACCGACTGAAGGAATAGTCTCGTAACTTGCGGAGTCGTAAATGGTCCCGACTTGGCTCACATGATTTTTAGCAGGTAGTCCGGCATATGCGCCGTAAATCCATACCTAGTCCCTAGTACGCAACTCGATATCCCCATTGTCTTCTGGGGCAAAGACGCTGAATGAACGAAGTGTGCAAGTATCTGCTACTGACATGCATGTAGGCAGTGCCACTTACAGGTCGAGTCCATGAACCATCCCACTTATCTGGAGTCAGTGCCATTCTGCATACTACTTGGGGGGATTCAACCCAAGCCAATAGATCCGAACAGTTCGCTCCAAGGCTGAGACTGGTGTAGTCTGTTACTACAGCTACCGATCACATCCGCGACGTTGTGGTGATCTCCCCACTGAGCTGAAAATCTTGGTCTGTACAACATTGTTGGTGTCCAATAGTGTACTGTCGATGCTCACAGATCCCATCCCACCTGTTTGTAATAATCTGTATACGTTACAGTATGGCTCGGTATTGGATGATTTTTAAGTATTCAGGTGGTAATCTGTAATGGTGCTATGCATGATATGCTTAATCTGGCTGTAGACTCCATATAGAGAGGCCTATATCAAGATCTTACACGTCTGATATACCCACAGCATAACCTCCAAGTTCAGCAATATATGAACCCAGCATCTGATGTGTATCTGCCAGAAGCCGAAGAGAATGACTTTTTGTCTCTTTCTGAATTTGAACGCGATTAACTCGTAAGTGGTGGGTAGACTCGAGCTGATACATAGCCCAGAAAGGAAATTACGGATCACATCCATCATCAGGTGTTTGACTTGCGATATGACCTTGTATATTACTCATTTTTGCGATTTCCTGGTTTTACGGCGTGTCATCAATGTGTATACCTTTTTCTTTTCCTCTCTCTCTCACTTTAAAAAGAATAAGATAAATAATTAAATTAAACTTGTTATTAACATTCTATTACTCCCCTTGATTTCAGGCTAATTTAATCTTTTCTCGTCGGACAATGATAATAATGCCTCAAAAAAATTTACGGAGTACGCTCGGAATCTGATATAACCGTGGTTAGTACGGAGGTACCAGTACAATATATTGCCCCGGTTACATATTCCCTGGTTTTAGACTATCCCCTACATGGGCAACGTGGGCTCGAAAAGTTTGTAGGCAAACCTACGGTTTGCAGGAACAAACGAAATGAGGAAAGCATGAATAAAAAGGGGAAAGAAACTAAAATAAAATAAATAAAATCAAATACGAAATGATAAAAAAAATCGAAGGAGTGGTCACCCACCAGGCAGACTGCTTGAATACAGAGAAATGGCTCTTCAATGTGGGCAAGTTGAGAAGGGAGAAAAGAATCCGCGGAAAGACACCGCACACGCACAACCACCCCCATAGTTAGTATCCACCCATTACAAGCCACGGTCGGGAAATGATCCATAAGGGGATGTGATCCAACCAGCCGGGAAGCAACGAGTGGATATTTAGTGGAACTTCTTATTGCACCGGAGGAGTCGGGGAACGCGGAGCCCCACTCGGCGCAGGCCCGTCCCTACTACCCGACAAGCCAGCCATGGGTCAGGACCCCTATAAGCCAGTAGAAATTATGTTTAGTGAAGGATCGCTGAACGGAATGGGGCCATTCTTGCACTAGGGGAACTGCCTGAAGGACCCCCGAATTGGCCTGACCCCCGAGCCACTATTAACAATTTAGCATGCCACTAACTGGTGACGCCGTTTTATTCCTTTGGAATTCCAGAAGGTTTAAGGAGGTTCGTAGAAACGGCAGAGAAGGAACTAGAGGCACAAGATGGTCCTTCTAGCTGCTTCGTAGTGTCGACAAGATGGTCGTATATTGGTCAGCAATCTGACTAGGTTCATTTCCCAGACCCGTTGGAACAAACTAATTGCGATGGTGTTGCCGTGTGCCGTAGAGGATCACCAAGATATCCCTCGTATAACATGGTTAAGCGTGCTTCTGGAACAACCGTAGAGATCGCTGTCAAATTGCCACCTGACGTACTCCATAGGAGATCAACTGTTGCCTTCTGCCGCGAGGAGACCAGAGCGCAGCGCAGCGCGCTGGATTTCCTCGATGATCCCGCAGGACCATCGATTATATTATCTACCCGCTACCAAGGAATACAATCCAGTCTATCTTGGCGCAGAAAAGGGATGTGATTGCTCAATCCCTCAATTTGCCTTGCAGTAGGCCGAGGGTATCTGCATTGATTCCGCCTGAGGTGCATGTCAGATCGTTGCTTGGGCCCCTGGTCGTGTCAGTTCAAGATAATTTCGAAAACCCGAGGGAAAGGGTCAACAAAAAAGTACCTCCTTTTCGATGGATCCCTCCTTTTTTCTTTCCCACAATTTCTCCCAACTGTCTCTTATTTCGCCCCATCGATATTCATGCACATCATATTCCGTACTGTGTACAGAGTAGTCCATATCGCTATCGCTATCCATTTTGTGACTAAATTATCGGAGAAGAAAATCCTTGAACCAGCTCGGTTATGTAATGACGCTATATCTGCATAGCCATCATCATCTATTTGAAGCCTCCATGCGGTTGGGCAGAAACCGCTCTGTACAATTCCAAAAAAAGAACACCGAGAAAACCTCTGTCATGACATTGTCCTTGTGTAATATCATCATTCCTAAGTTGGCAGGTCAAACGATAGGGGCAAAACAAAGCACAACAGGAAAATATAAAAGAATTTCAACTAAAATAAAATTAAATAAGATAAAAATATTCCGATTCGGCTCCTCAGGCTTCTCTCGATTTCATCAAACCTCACAGTAAATGTAATATTAACGCTCAGTACCTACTCAGCCATGGACACTAGGACCTTGACCCAAATTAGGAAACCTCGAAGAGTGCCAGCGGGCCGCGCAACGTTCTTCGAGGTAAGCCATTGAGATATTCGTTTCTCCTTTACAACGGCCGAGTCCCGAGTCTTTAGAAAGATGATGGAGACTCTCGTGTTGTCCTTCAATTAGTGAGACTGATCATGCCATTTCTGGTCAGGTGCCGAAAACCCATGTCCATGTCATGGAGTTTGGCAACCTTCCACCAGTATTGATGCTGTATAGTCCCTTCGCCACTATTCATGGGTGTCCGTCTTTTTCGGTATCTTTGTAACAGGAATTGCAACACTATTCTTCCATTGACTGACTATATTCATTTAGATTAGGTTATGTTTGGGTTGGCATATGTAGTAACCATCTCAACCATTTGGCCGTCCTTACTGGACTTTTAGGTGATCGTCTGCCCTGCTTCTCTCACAGCATGGAAGACATAAACTCGGGTTGGCCTAGTTCGCCAGTCTCACCCCCTGTATTGCCGCATTTCTTGCATTCGGTGAGGGCTACATGCAGGGCTATATTGTCTTGTGCTCCCCGACTCCAGACCGAGCAGGCGCCGCAAGAATTCGGGTTGGTTGGGTTATAAGATAATAGTATAGCAAGCTATTGTTTTGACAGAAGAGCATAATGGTAACTTGGGGGCCTATCAATTATCAATGCATGCACAGCAGATGATGCCTTGGGACAGATACTACTCTGTTGCTTACCCCTAGTATCCAGCCAATCGCCAGAGGAAATTGTCCGGTCGCCAGGGATTCCGTACCCGCCAGTTTACCACTTTCCGTTCAGTAGACTTAGGTATGGCATGCTGGGAGCATATGTCTTCCAGATCCTTTGCAAAGCACTCCGAGAAATGGTCTCTACATGGTGATATCGCTTGAACTCCTCGGAAATCCACATGTTAGCTCGGCATATCTTAGAACGCAAACTAACGACAAAGCAGGTGAACGTTCTGTCTATATGAAAGAACCAAGCCAAGTGTCGGATCATACTATTCTCTAGACATGCGCCTCAGTAGCCGTGCCTATCGATTCCCGGCCACTGACCAACTGTATCATCTGACCCCCAATCCCCGTAGCCCTTGCAGTATATACGAGGCGTGCAACGTCAGCCCATATGTCAGCACACGCGTGGCTTTGGCACTTCCTTGAGTCATTCATCATGGCTGAATTTTCCGAGATGCATCTACTGCTGTTGTGAGTAAACGGTTCGGGTACGGGCTGGATTGAAGGGGACTGGCTCACTTCCTACAAACTCCTTGGATTTAGTGGTTGTCAGCGGAGATTGTACATGCAAAACAGAAAAGAAAATAAAAGATGCATGTCAACATTTAATATTGTGCCAAGCAGATATGGACATCAACCCACTTCTTCCAGATGGGCTCTGTATTGACTGTGAAGTCAATGGACGGCAATAACACTAGGCTACACAAGCCTATACAGGTTGATCATTTCATGGAGGTACTGACTTGTGCATATCTTGCTTGACGGAAAACATAACAAGCTTCATGCTTTGACGTGCCATCAGCAATTCAGGGCAAGCACATTAGGAATTCACTTGAGGCAGACAGAATCGATCCATCTTACCTTTTTTCCATGCTCTCAATACTTTTACTTCCTGAAATAACTTTATCTGGTCTGTAAATGGAAAGCCTCATTTCCACTGCAAAGAGTCGGAAAAACAAAGCCAAGAGTCATTGGGGGCTTCTGAGTATACTTCCTACTACGCAAGGCGAAACTAAAGATCATAAGCAAATAAGGCGGTTTAACTAACATTCAATTATTTATTAAATTGTCTCTTGTCAGATGCATACATTACTCAGCCAGAGCCAAGTCTAACTGACCTGCCACAAGAGTACTAACCTGGAGCTCATACACCAGGTATTCTGCAACTTGATTATCACGACATAGTACTAGTTAGGTAGTGGGAGTATACCTCCCGTTTGGCATACTTGTCACACAAACACCCCAAACAATATTGGGACCAGTACAAGGTTGCCATGGGCAGAACAAAAATAGAGTGAATGCAACCGGAGGCGAGGTGAATCTTGATACTACTACTCTCACACATCCAATCCTTCTTCTCTTCTCACTTTCTTGACAAACTTCTAGGCAAAATAAATGCTCTTTGATTGCTCTTTGACAGTAGTCTCCTATCCTCACCTAGAGTGGGCTTATTGTGGTTTTTCAAACTTTCTGCAAAACATGTCTATTCGCTACGCTGGTTTCTTCCAGTGTCTTTAAGTCACATATTTCAACTCTGAGCTCTGCCTCCACCCTGCACAAACTACACTTCCCTCATCTTCAACACTCTTACATCAGCTCCTCAGCATCACTATCTAGCTTGTCCCATCACCATCGCCTAATACACTGATCATTTTCACTTCTTCTGGCTCCACGCATATTCCCCTCTGAGATCTGTCTTGTGTTTCACTTATATCACGATGGGCGACAAAGTGAGAAACGCATATGCTGGTGGCTATAGCGATGCTATCAAGAGACAGTAAGTTGATTTCTGTCTGCGTACCGGATCCATAGGAAATGGACTTACTCGCTAACAACACTAGGCTTGAGAGGGTGGTAATCCCCGACAGGTTCGACTGCTCCTTCATTATCTAGCTGAAGTCTACAAAGCTTATAGTCATTCTGTTACAGAGTCAAGTGCATGACATGCAACAAAATGCGCATGCAGAGCGCATACTCTAAGAGACAGCTCGATGTCCTGCGAAATGCCATAGTCGTTCAAGGCGGTCGGGCCCTCACTGGTCGTGGCCACGCCAAATGCAGAGAATGTGTGGGTGGTCAGACTGTGGAGCTCCGGTGCGTTATTTGCGACGAAACCAAGGGTCTTGGGGAGTTTGCAAAGAACCAAAGGCATGATCGTGATCATGCAGTAAGTCTTTAGCAACCTTCCTGCGTATATTTTACAAAGCTAATGGTGACTTTTCATAGAGGTGTTTGGCTTGCGTGCAGAACCATACGGAAACTGAGCCTGTTCTCGAGGAACAAAAACTGCTAGCAGAAAGCGATATGTCCACCGCTCAAGATACTACCACGTCCGTAAGTCCTTTACCAAGATTAGCCTATCTTGCATGACCAAACTATTCGTCGCATTAACGGACCCGAAGAGCCAGGCGGACGACGGTTACGCATACAGTACTGCGTACGGGGAAGAGGATGACGATGACGATGACTACTCCGTAGGGGGCGGGGTCTGGGTTGAGCCCGAATGCCCTCAAGGCAACCCTCCCACTAAGAGTAAAGAGCGTGAATATACTGGTTACGACCAACAGGGTATGCCCCATCGCCTTAGCACTCCTATCGCGGCGCCGAGAAGCGTGCACTCTGGCTGGGCATCTTGGGGGATCGAGGCTAGTTCTGTGCAAGCAAATAATCTTCGGGCCGGCAAACCCTCAGCTTCGGCGCAGAAAAAGACATCGAACTTCGCAAAGATCCCGGTAAGGCTGATATAATTGACGCTACAATGGTTTATAACTGACTCGCACTTGCGTCCAGAAAATGCGAGTTGAGCGAAGCGAACCCTGGACACCACGCACCCCCGCTCCCGCCAGAGAGAATTTGGCATATGAAAAGGGTGAACATGTTGACATCGAGGATTTTCTCTGAGTTAGCAAGAACCGTGGTTGAGTCCGGTAAGGCCCCACTGATTCCATATGGGACATTTCCATGGTTAACCCGCCGAGCCCCTCAGGCACCTCCTGAAGGACCTCATGACATTGTGGCTCGGCCAGGGCATATGATTGTTGCTAGGGGTGTCATTTGAATTTCAAAATTTCATGCCCGTGACATTCTGAGGGTCTGAAAGAAATTTTAAATCGGTCTTGAAAGGAGTTTTCGCGCTGATATTTTATCCCTAAGGATCCGAAAGGCAGGTAGAAATTTTAGAAATTGAAGAAGTTCAGGCAATTAAAGACGCTTAGGAATGAAGCTATTTAAAGCTCTAAAATCAAGTACAATATCTACGGCCCCCTCCAAAATTTACATATAAGGGTAGAAGGCATATGAAATCGGGTCACTGCTGGACCCCTGCTGACCCACCAAGCCCCTGCCCTGATTACCTGATTCGCTTATTCTCGGGCCCACACACACGATTCCTCCAATCATCGCGGGTTTATACACTTACCTACTACACTAGTACTGTACACATACTACTACTACCTAGTACCTACTACTAGTACTCACATCCTAAGACAACATCCTCATCAAGCGGGTTGTCTGTTGATAGTAAATCTGTTGAGTCTGTCTCCCCTCCACTAATCCTCTTTTGTCTCTGTGTCTCATCGCCTGACACCGTTACTACTCCTGCCAAAACTCGCGGCACTGATCTGCTCTGAACCTTCCTGCTGATCTGCTTCCTACCAACCTTCCGGTCTAATAACCTACTGCGTGAGATATAGTAGTCTGCGTTCATTGATTCGAGGATCACTTGCATCGCCACATCTTTACTGTCTTGACGGACTGCAGTAGCAGACGTCACTCACCCATTCGGTTGTCGACACCTTTTGTGTTCCCTTAACATCATCATGGCGTCAGAAAGTCCTGCTGTTGATGCTGACGCTATACCTGAGGTATCAGATATTCGCCGACATGAGCTGATTGAAAAGCTCGGCTCAATAGTGCCGGAAGTTGAAAGCACAACTTGGGCACTGTTGTGGTTATCCGATATAGAACAACTTGAGGACTTTTGTAGTATAAAAAGAGGACCACTTTTACTGGCACTAGCAAGTGCCAATATTACCAACCGTCGGATCTTAATGCAGTGTAAGTAATATACCCTTCTACCCTTTGAGTATATATATACTAATCTATGCCAAGGGGCCAGTCGTGCGCGTACTATAAACCCAGTGAAAACCCGAAAGAGAAAACGCTCGGAGTCCTTAAAAGAAATGGTGAGTTTATATCTGTTATTTGTCACATGATACATATAAGCACATTTAACAGTAGTTAGTGCGTCATACGGGATAATTGTTGTGTTCTCACCGGTAAAGAAGAGCCCATTGGAGTCGCACACATGTATCCGTACAGCATGATGGACAAGCCAAAAACCGAACAGACACTGTTTTGGGAGTATCTCGAATCCTTTTGGCATCTAGAGAAAATCCAGAAATGGAAAAATGCTGTTATAGGTGAAAATGGAACGGAGGTACTACAGAATGTTCTGTGTCTTTCTCGGGACTCACATGGTTTATGGGGCAGGGCTCGATTTACTTTACAACCACTCGAAGTATCTGATGACCGTAAAATCTTAACAGTACGGTTTTTCTGGATCCCGATATCAAAATATATGAAGACGATGGATCTTAAGACGATGCCATCTATCCCATTGAATCTCGGCTATACCGGGAAAAGGATTAAGCTTTTCAACTGTGAATCAGGAAAGCAAATTTATTCAGGGGATATTATAACAATTACAACAACTGATCCTGATGAATATCCTCTGCCGTCTTTTGAACTGTTAGAAATGCAATGGCTCTTGACTCGAGCATTGGCGTTGAGCGGCACCGCCGATTTTGATCCGGAAGATTGGGACGATAGTGACTCCGAAGAGGAGAAGGAGCTGGTGGAAAGAACAAAAAAAGAGAAAAAAGTACGATGCATCTGGGGATGTGCATAGGCGGTGACGTATGGCTGGCGTTGGCGGCTGAGATCGAATTAGTTCAACGTTTAAACTCTTTATGTTCCTCGTGATTTTTTTATATGATTATTATTTCTCTACCTCTATCAGACAACAATGCAATAATTATCTTTACTGCTGCTGCTTTGTTATCGGACTTTTGCATCTTACGCTTTCTCTAGATAGCTGCAACTGTGTGATTGTTCAAGACTATTTATTCATACACCACACGAATTGTTTCACGCTCCACTCACTCCCCGCCAGACCCCTCCATTTCGTCACTTGGTCTTTGTCACTCTACTCGCGCTTCTTTTTCCTTTGTACACACAAAAGCCACTACAACGAAAAACGTTGCCACTTGCGATTTGGCCGTAATTTGTCTCTTGATTCATTTATCGTTTCCCTTTTCTAACCGTATCGATCACTACCACTCCGACCACCTCGCGAAGCAAACCCACGACAAGCGACTCGACGCCCAAGACCATTTTCCTTATGGCTTACGATGGATATCAGAACAACCCAGCCCCCTTCTATCAACCGGGCAATGCGAATCAAATGAATCCAAACGAGCCCCGCACTTCGTCTTACACGCCGCCTTATCCATCGCAGTATGGCCATGAACGCCACAATATGCCGCAACCTCAAGTTCCTCCTCCACCCCCAGCAAATCCATACGCGGATGTTCAACCTCCCCCAACGCAGCCGCCTACCTGGCAACAGCCTTACAATGGGAGGATCAACGAGGCTGTTAACTCCGCATTTCACAAAGCTGACACATCTACCTATCTATCCCCGGAGGTTTTGACCCAGATAACGGCGAATGTCATCCAACAGCTCAAAGAGACGGGTTTGGAGAACCTACAAAGCGACCAATACCAGCCCCCGCAGCCCCCGCCTCGGCCGCCCAAACAATGGGCAACTGCTGCGCATACTACGTACTCCAATGACTTCGCCTCTTCTCCGGTCATGGCGACACAAGATACTTCAGCCTCGTCGTCCCACGTCGCCTATGATAATCCCGCTTATCAACCACGGCCACCGTCTACGGGATACTCCGGCAGCCCCCATCTCCAACCCAGAGCATCCCCGGCACTGCCATCAGAAAGACGAGGATCTCCAGCTAGTCAGATGAGTGACCATAGCCAGAGAATGGAATCCCGACCAAAACCACCGTCGAGAGAGGCCACCGTCACGGAGCTGACGACGCTAGAAAGAATATGGGGGACGCTTTTTGAGGATGGAAAGCCAACTAAGAAACTGACTCAGTTCTTGCGTGGGATTGCTGTTCACTTGGTGAGTATTACTCTATGTTGATGGATCCTTCATCTAACCTAAGGCCAGATCGAAGACTATGAACCCAAAAGCAGTCTAGTCATACTTCCCACAAAGCTACAGAAGTTTTATGAAGACACCAGAGTACCAGGGGACTATTATCCTTGGAAATGTAAGTTGGATTTGGTACTCCTTTGTGAGCGGGCACAGATAACCTTTGCCACTTAGATATCTTCGATGATGAGACGTCGCACGTTTCAAGGTTGTTCCGAGAAGTCAAAGCCGAACACCATCTCGTGCAGGAAGAGAATCAGCTCCATGATAGACCATATATTCCTGGCCTCACGCCGCGAGGCTTTGAGACATGGGCTACCTTGATGATACAAGTCAACCCCGAGACGGAATATAAGCGACTGCAGAAAGCAGTGCTGAACATGCCTATTAGCAACCCAGACAACAGAAAGGAGAGGTTTCCCAAGGAGATCCCACAATCGTTATTCCCTTTCGAAAAAATACTAAAGCCTGAGATGCAACAACATATAAAGGAGTGTATACAGGAGCATTGCAGAGTTGACTTGGATAAGGAGTTTGAGAAATTCAAAGCGCATCACGAAGCTCTGCCACATCCACTGCCGCTCCGGGTCCTTCACACAGTGAGCGAGAACGAAAGCCATACCAGGCGTCTGTTTCCACGGTGGTAGACAGTGATGATGAAGAACTCGACATTCCTTCACGCCCCATAGAACGACAGAGGAAACCATACACCGCGCATCCGGGAGGTGGAAAGGAGTATGGTGACTTTCAAGAACCTACCCATCGGCATGCATCCTCGTTTTCCGCAGGCTCCGTTCCAAGGGATACTTTAGCTTCCTCCGAGCCCAGAGCTTCCGAGTCTCAGGGCCTTGATCCTACCTACGTTCGACCAAGCACTACTCAGCCTCCTCTAACCACGATGAGGCGGTCAGGGAGCCCGCCACGAGGATCCAGGATAGGTAGTGAATACAGACACTCTGAGGGTGACTTGCTGGGGTACAATGGTAGCCCTGGATACGGAGTCGACGATGTTCACTATTACCGTTCTGGCGCCTCAGCCAGCTCAGGAGACATACTTGAAGACAATCGATTCTACCGAGACTCTAGCCGTGATGAAGACCAACGACTGTACGAGTCTCTCCGAGAGCGTGAACGGGAGCGCGAGAAGAACAAATATAACGATTACATTCCCCATCGAAGCAGTTGGGATGGAGAAGAAGGCTACTATCGCAACGCACCCGGTAGTCAAGGAGGTCCAGTTAGCAGCGGTAGTGGGTATGACTACAAGACGTATACCTATAAGTGATGACCCGAAACGAACCCCATTGTGGCTTTAGCATCTTGAGTTTCTTTTTTGTTTCCCCCTGTACCTGTTCTGCCACGATTTGAAGTTTTAAAGTGATTCCCATGATGCACTCTTTCTTTTTTTATATTTGTTGTTTGCTTTTAATGAGTTATGTGTTACGGCTATGTCTATTTAGTTCCGCTTCATGTAACATATCATTAAGTTGTGCTTTTCTTGGCACTGCGATACCTCTGCTCAAGCCATGTTGAGTCTATAATATATTTTTCGGTAGGGTTGCACAACACAGCGTTCAATACGACTGCTTTAACTGTGCTATACTTTTCTTTCTCCGAAGTCACGCATGAATTTTGCTCCAGCATCCCGGCTATGCAAAGCCTCCTTGGCTCTGAGTCTCTCTTCTCGCTCCCATAACTTCTGGATTCTCCTCTGGTCCTTCTCCTCCCGCTCGATCCGTCTTCGCTGCCGTCTTTTTATCCTCTCCTGCTCTTCCTCAAGTCTCTCCTCTTCATCATCCGCCTCGTAGCGCAATCTCTCAACCTCCTCTTCCGTCAAACTCCACGGCACAGAAAGCACCTCAACAAGATATCGACTCCGCTGATCCAGAAATCGCATTTCGGCGTTTGTATCCTGGACCACAGAAACCCGCTCCAATTGAATCTGCATTGTAGCCCGAAACATCGATAACGTCCCCTTCACCTGTGCCACGACCCCCGGGACCAAGGCCGTTGTATCCACGGTTGTCTTATTTGTAGCTGCGACATGTTTAGTCGCACATGCAGACTGCAGGTCCCCTCTTTTGCCGCTTCGAACGGACTGGTCACCATCGTCATCGGTAATTGGGGCTTTGAGGACAATGACGTCGATTGTTGCGCCACTGCTGTCGTCGACCGTGAGGATGGTTAGTGTGGGGTATTCTGTCCGGGCGACGATGATGCCGACTAGAGAGACGAAGCGGATAGGGTGGTTCATGTAGAAGAATGTGGATTGGTCTAAATTGGACGTTAGACGTAGTCTTATATACCTATGTATGCTACGCGGATCGCCGAGCAATGAATTGAATCCTTAACATGAGATATGGAAATCCGGCACCCTGAACGAATAAGACCATGCATGTTGCGTATACTTTCAACTGAAGCGGCGGCGTTCATCTGGGATACAATTCAACAATCCCAACTAAATAAACGAACACACCCTCTTCCCCCAGGGAAACAATCCGAAACGAACATAAATGCACAGGTTCAAAGCAAAGTAATAAACCAGTAAATAACCCACAGAACTTTTGAAAAATAACAGTAGTACCATACCTTCAAATCCACCCCTCCTTTTAAGTAGATGCACATCTACTGCTCCCATCTTTACCCAGGCGAAATGCGTCGGGGATGCTCGGAAGCAGAATGCCGGGTAAAAGACGAGTTCGCCATCGTCGACTGTCGCCATCGGATCATTTTTCCGGCTGTGGATGCTGGGAGATGGACTGTTGAGGTTCGGTTTTGGGGTTGTTCATTGTTTGCTGATCATGCTATCGGTTGGTCACGTGTATTTACTATCGGGGTTGTTTTGTTGGTGCCTTAGGCTGTGGTATGATGTCAGATCTCACCTACTATTAACTTCTGTATATGTGAGCTTCTTGTGGAGACTTGGGAGGTTTTATACGCGCTGAGTGGATTGTGACTTAGATTTCTTGAGGGAAACTTTGTTTAAATGAGGACTAATCTAAGGTTTTGTGGTTTTGTAAGTTGAAGGATCAAGTTCGTGTTCAGCCTATGATATATATCTCCAGGAGCGTTGGAATATCAGCCCACAGCAATTAACTCACAGTTGAGCTCTATTTTTCTGCTAAAATCATTTTCTTCTCCTTTCCCTTTCCAAGATAAAAAAACTAGACTAAATTGCTACTTTTCCAATAGTTGATGCTCATCAACCGTCATCAAAGAGGAGACTCATTCCAGTCGGAGACTTTCAATGCATAGTGAAAGATAGATAGGGCGGCGGACAGAGGGAATGAATGGTGGATCTTAATATAATCCTCTAGCTCAATAAGTGGAGCTGAATCCCAGTTTATATCAGGATTGCAAGGAAAAGCTCAACAGTGCCTTGGTGATCCACAGTCAGAGCAATGCGTTGCAGCAGCAGATACAGGAAGATGCTTGTCAATCCATAACCAGCAATTCTCACCCAGCTCTCAAAGAGCCACTTGGACACGCCGATCAGGCGACGAGGGATCATGTGGTCCCACATCTAATCTCCCATACGACGCGGGGTAAAAGCTTCCATTGATTTTCCAACTGCTTTCATGTCCGCGGAAAACACAAATCCAGTGAGCAATTTCGGATAGAGATCGACTATATTCAGTAAAATGCATTCGACTAAAACGATCTGCATCGTCGGTGTTACAGGGAATCAAGGTGGTTCTGTTGCTCAGCGATTCCTCCAGGACCCCGCTTATCATGTCCGGGGTCTAACGCGCGACCCCTCTTCGAGCAAAGCCCAGGAGCTCGCCGCGCAGGGGATAGAGATTGTCCAGGCTAACCTCGACGATGCGGCTAGCCTAAAGGCAGCTTTTGCGGGCGCCAACGTTATCTTCAGCGTCACCAATTACTGGGAGCCATTCTTCCGAGCAGACTGCCGACAGAAGGCTGCTGAGCTGGGCATATCCTGCCGCAAATACGCCTACGATGTTGAATACCAACAGGGCAAGAATATTGCTGATGCAGCGGCAGCAACTGCCGACACTTTAGATGAAAATGGGTTTCTTGTGTCGACATTGAGCCACGCTGGGAGGTGTAGCGGAGGCAAATTCGAAGAGCTGTACCATTTTGATGCCAAGGCAGACGTCTTCCCAAGCTACGTGCAGAGTAATCACCCAGAGCTGTCTCGGAAGATGTCTTGCGTGCAGACGGGATATTTCATGTCCAGCTACAAGCTGGTTCCGGATGCTTACTTCGGGAGAGCTGAAGATGGCTCCTTTGAGATGACGTTCCCTACTGCCCCAGACGCAGCGGTACCTCATTTCCATGTCAATGCGGATATGGGGCATTTTGTATATGCGGTGGCTAAGATGCCGCCTGGGAAGAGTTACATAGCTGAAGGCACGACGTGCAGCTGGGCGGACTATATGAGATTATGGAGTGAGGTGAACTCTGTGCGAGCGTCCTATCGGCAAATCTCGTTGGAAGATTTGATAGATCGAACACCAGACGCAGAGTTCGGCCGGGAAGTGGGGGATATGTTTGCATATTCGACCGAGCCGGGGTACGATGGTGGTGAAAGAGAGCTACTGCATGCGGCAGATATCCGAAAAGTGAGTGTATACCATGCTTCTTTCCAATCCTCGAGCTCTTTCATGCAATCAATGCTCATTTGTCATGTGGTTAGGCCGGAATAGACTGCCCAATGACTAGTTTGGAACAATGGATGAAAAAAGAGGACTGGTCGAGCGTTTTGCAAAAGACCTAAGCAGAAAGTCAGAAGAAGAGAGCAACATCTAAGTGTTCGGCCCTCACTGTCCCGAAAGAATCCATGTTTACCCTGCCCACATCGTCAGATTCTCTTGCCTGTTCCCCACAGATGCGCGGGGTAACAAGTTGATTAGTGGCTTTATATTCATCCATAAAAGGCAGTCCCTTTTTAGCCTGAATACACATGCCGATGTGCGTCAATTGGTTAATGCTCTGGATTCAATATCAAATGATCGGCAGTAGCCCCAGTTCCCCACAATTTACACCCAGGTATAAAAGCCGCTGATAGATCATGCGAGACATGCACCAACCATGGACCAGTAAACGCTTTTCGTGCATCATGCGGTCCCTTGGATTCTCAGCGTTGTCCTTTCTAGCATTGGCGACTTCCGCCCTTTGCCAGCCAAGTGGACTTTCGCCATACACGAATCCAATCCTGCCCGGATGGCACTCTGATCCGTCATGTGCCTATGTCGAAGAAGAAGACACAATCTTCTGCGTGACATCGACGTTCATCGCATTCCCCGGGCTCCCAGTCTATGCCACAAAAGATCTCCAAAACTGGAAACAAGTCAGCAACGTCTTCAACAGACCTAGCCAAATCCCATCCCTCAGCAACACCACAAACCAACAAGGAGGGATCTACGCACCAACACTCCGCTACCGCGACGGAACCTTCTACCTGATAGTCTCCTTCCTCGGCCCAGAGGTCAAAGGCCTCGTCTTCACCTCATCAGATCCATACAGCGACGCCGCATGGAGCGACCCACTGGAATTCTCCGTCCGGGGCATCGACCCGGACATCTTCTGGGACGACGACGGCACCGTATACGTCACCTCAGCCGACGACGCCCGAATTCAGCACTACTCTCTCGACCTCCAAACCGGAGAAACTGGCCCCGTAACCTACCTCTGGAACGGAACGGGGGGTGCCTCGCCCGAAGGACCCCATCTGTACCGCAAAGACGACTTCTATTACCTGATGATCGCCGAAGGAGGCACCGAGCTCAGCCACGCAGAGACAATGGTCCGGTCCAAGAGCCGCACCGGACCGTGGGAGCTCTGTCCCCATAACCCAATCCTAACGAACAGGAACACGACCCAGTACTTCCAAACAGTCGGCCATGCCGACTTGTTCCAAGACGGGACCGGCAACTGGTGGGCCGTGGCCCTCAGCACCCGGTCCGGACCCGAATGGAAGAACTACCCCATGGGCCGCGAGACGGTTCTAGCCCCTGCCACCTGGGACGAAGGGGAGTGGCCCGTCATCCAGCCAGTCCGAGGCCAGATGCAAGGACCGCTGCCTCGAGAGAACAAGGACGTAAAAGGCGATGGGCACTTTGTCGACGAGCCGGATGATGTTACTTTTGCTCCGGGAGACTCGATTCCATCTCATTTCTTGTATTGGCGGTATCCGCAGACCTCGAACTTCGCTGTATCCCCACCAGACCACCCGAATACCCTCCGTTTGACGCCCTCCCTCTACAATATCACGGGAAATGCTTCCTTCACTCCAGACCAGGGTATCACCCTCATCACCCGTCTCCAGACAGATACCCTATTCACCTACAGCGTGGACATCGCATTCGACCCCCAGGTCCCCGACGAAGAAGCCGGCGTCACCCTCTTCCTTACCCAGGAGCAACACGTCGACCTGGGCCTGGTATTACTGTCATCGCAGAACGGGACATCCTCTCCGGCATTCCGACTCCGGGTCGAAGGCCAGGGGAACTATGAGGCTCGCTTCCGGGGAAGATCGTGCCTGTTCCGCAGGGGTGGAGGGGAGAGCCAATCCAGTTCCAGATCCAAGCTGTGAGTGATACCCAGTATGAATTCTCGGTTGCGTCGGTCAAAACGCCAGCGAAGAGGGCCATTGTTGGATATGCGGATTCGAGGATTGTTAGTGGTGATACTGGGAGGTTTACTGGTGAGTCTCCTTTCCTTCTTTCTTTGTCTTGGGCTACCGGGAAGGCAAACGATGTACTGATGGTATCAGGTACGCTTGTTGGCATTTACGCGACGAGTAATGGTGGATTGGGGACTACGGAGGCGTATATCAGCAATTGGAGGTATGAGGGACAAGGTCAGAAGATTGATTGATGTTTATCTCTTTTGTTTCTTGCACATTTTGGTATATATACTTTTGCACAATGCATCATGTCTACATTGAGTCAATAACCGTCCTATACTATACATCCTCATACGACGACAAGTCAAAGCACCCCGTGATTCCCGGCCTCATAAGCCCCGAATCCATCCATCTCCATCCACCCCAGCCCATACAACGACCCAAAATCCCACTGATTATCGAACGAAATATCCGGATTCGAAAAGGGAAGAATATCCGGTAACAACTCCGCGCCACCCATACTCTGCATTGCTGGACTCCTCCCGTCGCCTTGAATAGGATGTGGTTTCCCATCTCCACCCTGCTGCAGGTGTAGGTGCTGCTGCTGCTGCTCACCGCCAACAATATTGGTCCCCCTTACATCGCCATCAAGGACCTTCGACACCGACTCCTTACACTGCGATATGCACATCGTCGCCAGATCCCAGCCGTCTTGGGCGGCTGTTTGGAGCTTGGTCCAGAGGTGTTGGAGGCTTGTTTTGCAGGTTGAGATTATAGTTTTGTCGGTGGATTCGATGGTGCAGCGGAGGAGGATTATTACGGTTAGGATTAGGTGGTGGGCTGTATCTGGATTTTGGGGTCTTGATGTCAGGGG